CGGTGTAACGTGTGGTGTAACGTGTTTTTAATGTGTATAGTCAGTTCGCAAAAATAGACTGATATTTTGCGCATGTGCGACCGGATTTGCTTGAGCTCATCTCTCATAATCTGAATTAAAATCATAGGAGATGAAAGTTTGCAATAAATTCTAGTGCTTGTTTACGATCGGTAAGTCTGTATATCAACATAAACTAGAAATACATGCATGCAGCAACCCCTCGCCCATATTTTCCAAACATTGATTTATTAACATAACGTGTTAGTAATTGATCAACACTGATGAATGCAGGCTCGCATTTACGTCAGTGTTGCCATGGCTACACGATAAGATAATCTTAATTTTTATTATACTTTTGAACAATCTCGTACCCAAAACAATATCTGTGCGCGGCTAGGATTGCATTGGCTCTGGGGAAATTGACCACCGGAACCCCTAAACTTAGGGGTTCCGGTGATTTGTCGGCATGTACGATTGATAAACGTTAAACCAATCGCAGCAAAGGAAAAATTCAATTTCCCCAGAGCCCGATGCAATTCCTAGCCCGCGCACAGGCATTGCTCTGGGTACGAGATTGACTTTTGAAGAACGCGGCAAAAATAGTCGAAAGATTATTGCTTTTAACTATATAACAATGGCTTTCCGAAATATATATATGTACTGTAGGTATGTTGTTCTGGATTTTGAGAGCTTTGATTTACTGTAAAATTTAACCTGGATTTCTTCGTAAAATATTTTGAAATGTTCATTTTAATAACTAAACTGCTTTTGCCGATAAATTGTTTTTACTTCAAATTGTTGAATAATTTCATTTAGGTCTTCAAATTAACTTGCTCTCCTTTACATTTACCTCTTTTTCTTAAATTAAACTGGAAACTTACAGCTTCTTTGAAAAGGAAAATAGCAGTGCATGTTTTACGCAATGAATTGTTTACAAAGCAACAAAATTCATAATCAGATCAAACATTAAACATTCAAAGCGAACTTGCCCTATATTTCATGATTTTCCATAGTAAATCAATTCTTCGCCTTTTTTCAAACAATAATCGCGTCAGAGCTCATTGTGTGAAACGTGATTTTCCCAATATATGCTTTTCAAAATTGAAATCTTGCTTTAATATACTCAGTGTGCTTATCCCACTCCTGGCAAACAGCCATATTTTTGCGATCAGTAAAGAGGTCCACCCTTGTATTATAGCCATGCGCGCAGGGGCGGATTTAGGGGTCGTCAAACCAGTCACGCGACTAACGTAAAAATTGCAAACTTAATTAAAGTCTTAAATATTCGACCAATAGTCCAGTTATTTTTTATCATGCAGCGACATCTTATAATAGTCCAGTATCTATTATCATGCAGCGCTAGCAATTAACATTCCAATCGAACTGTAGTCCAGTGATCAAATTCATACAGTGGTTGAGCCGACGAGCTTAGTCAAGTCAATGAGCAGCTGACATACGCAAAGTCGGTCAGTCAAAAAGTCAAAATCCAGTGTTTTGATTGGTCTGGACGCTTATTGCCATGGTAACAAGCGATTTTTTGCGATTTTGACTGATCTGTGGGGAGTTCTGACCGATTTACAAAAGTCAGGGGCGCTCCATTAGTTGGAATATCATTAATATTTGACGCGTGTTAAAGTCTTTCCGAGCGCGTGCTCATTCGAAGTGTCTTGTTGTAGCTTTGTCGAAAGATTCAATTTAAATATATCTACGGAAAATTCGGAAATGTCTGCTGCTCCAGACTCCAGTCCTTGTAGTATTCACGAAACGATTCAATCCGCATTTGCGGTGAATGATTTAGCTGTCTTTAGTACAAGACTGTTGCGCTGATCTTGGGAGGAAAATCAACACTAAATATCGGAGAGTTCCATTCAGTGAGCAGTTGCTAAGCGGCGTAAGCGCCACGAATAGCACGAACTACAGTTTGACTGTTTGAGTAGAAGTATTGGCGCCGAGATCTTTATTCTGAAGTGCAATAAGGTAAATTTAATGTGATATGTAAATTTTATTTCGATATAGACAGCATAACAATATTTATAAGCGAACAAGATGCGCGCCATGCATATGTAAAATTGTAACTTGAATACGCGTATCTTGATTTAGATTTAGCTGTGAATTTTGATTTGCACAACAAATTTGCATATTTGTAATTCTGCGGTTGAAGGTCCGTCAGAACTCAGAAGGCTATTAATATGGGGGGATAGCCTATATAAATGCATTAATGCAGTATACATAGGATATAAAGGTCAGGTTTTATAGATGAATGTTAAGACTTTAATATTGATATATGTTTATTTGAGTAATATGACACTGTAGTGATTACTAGTCAAGTGATCAATGACTCAACAAGCCTAAAAATTTGATGAAATGAAACATCTTCCACAATTATCACATTTCTGCAAGTACTTCTCCTTTACTTTTCCCTAAGGAGCGAGTTGTGAGAGTCAGTCAGACTGGTAGTTGCTATAATTATCTCCCATTTCATGAAGTTAATTTTTTGTTGAAGCTGCTTTCAGAGTGATGCAAATTGCGTTTCGGTGGTTTAAAAAGATAAAACTTCCTGGGGGACAGACCCCCCTAGGTGCCTCGCGCATTCGCCGCCCGCAAAACTAGATTGTACATCCGAAAACTTTGACTAACGTACGAAAAATCCTGGATCCGCCCCTGCATGCGCGCACGATATTTGATGAACTTTAGACTTCGCTAGTGCTTTCCTTTCCCCGAGTGTAAATAGCCGGGCGGAATTAGTACCTCCCCCCGGGTTAACGCCCGAAACGACGCTCCGCGCCGTTAGCTCGGGGATAAAAACTTGAATTGGGTTTAAAATCTAGTTTAAAATTTTTCCAAAATTGTGTGTAAGTATAGGTCAGAACGATGCGTTGTCTGTTATAAAATTCTTGAACTGAAAGAAAATACTCTGTTTGAGAGAAAAAAATATATACTTATGATTATCAGCCATGAGAAAAAAATTGTCTGAAATTTATTTATTAGTTTATAATTTTTTCCAATGTATATTATGTTCATCAATTAATCTTCCTTTCCTAAAGAAAAATAACTATAGTTCTTAAGATCCCCAATATTCTTCTTACATGAAGTACTCAGTTATAGAAAACCGATGAGAAATAATATTATATAGCAAAAGATTCATTGAGCAAAAAATCCAAGTCAGCGTCTTTCCCGGAGAAATAAGTTGAATCAACATGAACGAATTACGCTTCATTCAAAAGTACAAATAGAGACAATCAGGTGCAGAAATTATTGAGACAACCGCGCATAAATGCCCCTCACCCCCAATTCAATGTAGTGTGAATGACTGAAAAGAGAAATTTAAACCCTCTTTTTCCAACATTGATCATGGCGGTATGCAGGGTGGAGGGCAACGTTCTTTAAAATGGCCAGAAATGCGAAAAGTCTCATTATTTTTGCACGCGATTGCATAGCTTGGTTAAACTTGTATTATGATGCGATTAACATACTGTAACTCTAACATAACCGTATTAAAATCATTTTAGCCAATTTACTCGATTCTGATTGAATAAAACCGTGCCGATTAATAATTAATCGTCATGACGGATACAAGCCCGCGTGGATCATGCTACATTACACATAAAATGTCAACCCAATAAAAAAACTTGAAAATGTACATTTTCTGAGCTCTTATTTTACAATGAGCTCTTACATATTTATGTTTTCATAACGAAGAAAAAAGAATAAATAAACATTATTGTCAGAAATTAAGTGCTCTCAAAATTGCGGACCTGCAGCGTATATGGCGTGTGTATGGCTCCGCTCGCAGTGAGTGATTGGTAGCTAATAGATTTACCCTAAACCAGTCAAAAACAGAATTATGCTAATTGCTCTCGTCAAAGGATTAGTATTTTAACTCAAGTCCTTCACTGACAATAAAGGACGTTCCAATTAAACAAGTCTATTGCACAAAGTCACTTGGTGTATACATAGACGAGAACTTGACTTGGAATGTTCATATCGAGAAATTATGCAAAAAAGTCGCTTCTGGCATAGGTGCATTAAATCGTAGAAGCCAATTTGCCCCACCTTCCACAATGCAACTTATTTACAATTGCTTAGTTCAGCCCTATTTCGATTATTGTTGCGTTGTTTAAGACAGATGCGGCCGCACTCTTGCAAATAAACTGCAAAAACTCCAAAATCGAGCCTCTAGAGTACTTACTTCATCTAATTATGATGCAAATGCTGAATATCTAATTAAATAACTGAGCTGGAAAAACCTTCAATCTCAGCGAAAGATTGCAAAATCTATAGAGGTCTATACTTATTTGCTACCTCTCTGAATAGTTTTGTGCCAGACTTTCTACCTGAAATGTTTGTTGATCGAAGTATAGCGTAACAAATTATACATTGAGAGACACCAATAGAATATTATTATTAATTTAAAGTCTTTATTGTCTAGAGTCACAACAGACGTGCAACTTTACAAATGTCAAATTCCTAATTATTACAGTTAAAAAATTGATCTATTCTAATTAATTATATGAAAGTTAAAAATAGTTAAAAAGACATCTATTTTTGAAGGATCGTTTAAATCGTTCCGTTTTAATTTGAGGTAAAATAAATTATGTTGCCTTTGTCTTAAAATCCTTTGTTTACACACAGGAAGCAATTCGTGTAGAGCATGTTGTGGATACGATACGATTTTGCTAAATAATTTTCTGTCTCTCTCCTCGATCACTTCAGATATCTTAATACCCTTTGTCCCATATCCATAACAATAAGCCCGCCGGAAAAACTTGTCTATACGATCCAAATATTTCTTTTGGAGAGCGGAGCCCCACACTTCGATGCAATAGTAAAAGAGTGACATGATTAGCGAATCGAGTAATTTGCTTAGCTGATCTGCAGAGTAACCATAGCATCTACACACTCTCAATATGTACATACGCCCACTACCCTTTGACAGAAGATCATCGATATGAAGATCCCAGCAACATGGATTTTCCTGAAATGTGACACCTATAGTAATTTCAACCAGCTCTTTCGTTCAATGCCGGTAATGGTTTCATAGACCCACCGTGCACAACCATTTCCCACGTTATAGAAAGATTTAATGTCATTTGATTTGCTTCCGAACAACTCTGAATGCTTTCCGCCTCAGCCTCAGCAGAATCCGATCCTGATTTTACTGGAGCACTTGTGGTTATATCGTCAGCAAATTTGACCAATAGGTTGTTTTGCGCATCCATGGGTTTTATATCATTAACCATCAACGAAAATAGAAAGCGACACAAAACCGTAACCTGCGCTACGCCTTTGTTAATATCAACATAAACAGTTTCTATGCAATCAACAAGAACTCTTTGTTTTCTGTTGGCCAGAAAACTAATAATCCAGTTTATTGTATACGGGTTAATTTCGAGTGTTTTCAATTTTTCACAAATAATGTTATGAGATACCGAGTCAAACGCTTTCTTATAGTCAAATGATATTACCCTAACAGAATCTGCGCCTTCATCCAGCCACTTCATGAGCCAATGATGCAAACACATAATCAGAGCATCGGTAGTATTTTTTCCCTCTTTATAAGCAAATTGATCTCGTCCGATCACGGATTTGAATGCAGACGCAATCTCCTGTTTATTAACTACCCTTTCAAATAATCTCAAAATTATGTTTGTGAGCGATATAGGCCTCAACTGATTACACTCTGTCAAAGGAGATTCTTTGGGTAAATGATTCACATTGGCGAGCTTCCATGTTAGAGGGACACATTGTTGTTCTATTGAGAGATTGAACATTTTGGTAATTATGGGCGCTAAAAGCTGTGCAAAGTCTTTCCATAACCAATATGGAAGCCCGTCAGGACCTGGCGCTGTTCGTTTTAGTTTCGTCAAAAAACTTATGAATAGGAACTCGAGTGCCTACAGGAATTGGTATGAATTGGGGGATATGTAATTCTCATCCGTGTTTACATTTTGAGTTAATTTAATATGTACGAGTTAATATGTTGTGGATGGATGACTGAGCTAATATTAATGTTCTTGCTTTTTCTGCCAGTAATTATATTCACAGTATCCCACCACTCGGATCCAAAACTATTTTTTCTATTCTCATGATCAACGGAACGAACAAGATTTCGACGAATTATCTCATCAATACTTTTTGAAGAGCATTGTTGACTCCCTTCGCTATATTCTTATTCCTTATCTTACATAAGTGTTGGACCAAAGGAGACATATATGGTGGGTCACGTGTTGACATTTTTACTTTAATTAACAGGAAATAATCATTAAACATGTTAGTGATAGTGTCATTTAATAGAGTAACTGTATCATTGACATTATTGCAATTATGAATGTGACTCCAATCACATGTCTCCAATTTCCTCATCATACTGAACTTCCGATGAGCTCTTACGTCTCTAAAGTAGACATCCTTTCTTTCGGGTTTTATAGCATGTCGCGGAGAAACCATGACAACCAAATGGTCAGATCTTACTAGACCTTTAAAAACCTTTGATTTTTCCCAAAGATGTGGACAGTTGGTTAAAAAAACATCCAAAATTTTATGATTTGGGGTAGGCTTCTTGACTAATTGTTCCAAGTTGTGCTGACTGATAAGGTCTTTAGTTTTTAATTGATTAATGTCTCCTGCTATAATTATTGTTGCATTGGGCTGAGGATAAAGAATCTGTTCTATAGTTTCAGACAAATGATTTAGTAACTCAGTCTCAGGATAAATGGCGTCAGGTGGTTGATATACTGAAGCTACGTAGTATTTAGTATTAACTGATACAATTTCACACCAAACACACTCAAGGTTGTTGTCAAAATCAAGATTTTTAACTTTCCAGTCGTCTCTATACAGAATAGCTACTCCAACCCCCGACCGCGAGTCACACCGGTCTTTTCTGAGAAGAACGTAATTGCCGAGACACACCAGGCTTGACCGAATTTTGTCGTTTAACCAAGTCTCGGTAACGAAACAATTATATCAATGTTATAAGTGCACAACTCAACGTTTAGGGAGACAGCGGCATCAGGTTTTGCTAGAGTACGAGCGTTAATAACCATGCATTTGGGTATAACTTTAGGAATTGGAAGTCCCGTTTTTTTAATGTTATACTAATGTTGTTAGTTGTGTTACAAAATCTAGGCGTTCTTGCCATAATGGGGAGCGGCAATATTTCCCACGCTGTGGAAAAAAAGACTGTTCGATTTCCCGTGCATTATTTCTGTTTCTTATTCTCCTTACAGTTCTACGCGATGCTTGCTTTTTAGCTGGACGATGGCTAATTCGGACAGGGATCTGAAATGTTTCTTTTGAATTCAGCACGTTTGGCGTAGCATTTAAAGTGGCTTCAGCTTTGTTTCCACTGGGTTTTTTTATTTACATTTGTAGAAGCACTTTATGCAATTGTTCGGTATTGCTGGTGGCAGAAAGTATGTTTAGATTTCTGCCCTCATGGGAAAGCTCACCTACTTTCGACTGTTCACTATTGTTCCTAACAGGGAAAACCACCTTTGTCAGGGTTAATTGTGAGTGATTGATGGATTTTGGCAATGGCACTAAATCGTGGTGTGAATTAAGTTTTCTCGCATGAGTGATCTATAGCCGTAAAAGTTTCTGTGTTGGCCGGTAGTTTTATTGGCTTTACTTCAACCACGCACAAATTACAGCTTGAAAAGTAGTTTTAGCAATAGCGTTCTGTACGTGTACTATAACTCTCTTCTGGTTGAGTTGAGACGATCTAGCCCATTGCGTAAATTGAAGTCAGACTGTAGCAACTTTAAACATTAGTCAATAACTTTAATTTTTTATATTATTATGTTGAGCACGGCACTTATGGAAAACAGGTCATAGTATTCTTGTAATATATGTGTATATAATTACAGTAGCCTAGTATTTTAACTTCTATATTCTGTAATCTGTAGCCTAACTATTGTATTCTATTTTCATCTTTCATGGATGTAAAATCCTGATAAGTCTACCGTGGGTAAATATAGTTCACAACCAATACAAATACAATAATGTTTCTTATCATTGATTGCTCGTGTAAAATGGACTATAAAATTATATTAATGGGAAATTACATTGTCCACGAACTATTTATGAAAAATGTCATGCACTTGTGTTTGGCGAAATATTTATAATACCGTTTATATTTTAACTAATAATTATTCCACAGTTCAAGTTCATATAGAAGCCCACAACGGATATCATTTGTCTTCCTTCAGCACATTATGAAATACCTTTTGTAAGTCAAATGACTTTAATAAAGGCGTAATTACCTTATCGTCACAACACTACAGGCAAACAATCGCCCAAAATCTCCAGCTGCCTTTTATATACAAAGAATTGTTTTTACAGAGTATTTCAAACAATGTGTCAGTCTTGCTATAAGTATTCATTCTAGTTAAGTACATAAATAGGCCTACTTATAAAGCACTTGAGGAAGTCTATTTGAAACGAGGAAAGATGCATTTCGTTTGACCTTTTTGCACTTTATAGATTTCAAATGTTCAATATGATATGAAAGATATTGTGTTTTCGTTTGGCATATTATGTCATTAGGGAGCTTAAGCATGTAGGACGGCAACACGACGACGACGGCAACCACTACATGAGTCAATGAAAAGTGAATAAATAATTAAAGTCCCAGGGGAGTTTCAGACGTGGTCGTCGCTCTGTTTACAACGGCAAATCACAGATTTTCACGTCTTTTATACAACGCCTGCATTTCAAGGCGTAACAAGTGCAACTTAAAATTCGGTCAGTAGAACTCTTCGCAAACATAAAGCCAATGTTTTCAGCTTCTTATACTGTATTAAGTTCATACGAATTATAATATACGACAAGTTTTCTTTACTATCATTTATTTGAAGGAATTTGTTTTGGCCGTCGTCCTCGTGTTGCCGTCTTGCATGCTTAAGCTCCCTATAATGAAGGTCCAGACGCACCTGACGCGATTCGGCAAGGCGACGTGATTTTTCGATTTTCTTAATCCTAGTTTAAATTATCCAAGAATTTACAAGCGCTATTAGATTTAGACTTATTTGTATACTACATAGATATCATTCGCTGTTTTATTAACCTTCAGAAACTAAAAAACCGCGTCGCGTTGTCGAATGCCATTCTGTGTGTCTGGACCTTTATTGTGAAAGGAATGAACGATGCCAGCAACACAGTTTGCGAATTATCTCTCTGGGCTCAACAGATTCCGATTAATAAGTTCTTTGAATGTTTGCAAGGCGATAAAATATAATTGTTTTTGTTTGTGGAAACACCACGTAAATTTATAAATTTACGTGGTATTTCCACAAACAAAAACAATTAGATTCCGATTAATTGATTTACCGTTTACAAACACTCGTGCTGACCAATCAACAAAGTTTCACATTTAATTTTATTTTATTTCATTTCAATTCAGAAGAAATAATATAATATAATGTAATTTACAGTTGTCTATATTCTTTGTTGACGTTCAGCATAGCCATGCACTACAGTTCTGTACTATATACTATATATACTGTACACGTGAGATGTGAAACTTGTTTGACATAGATTCCATTTAATTGGCTGCTTTCACAAAACTAAAATCTAATGAAGCATATGGTAAATTTGTCGGACCGAGTCAGGTTACAACGTTCTGAACCATTGAACAAAAATTGTTTATCTGTAATATAACAGAATGTTCGATACATGGAATGCCGGGACTGGCTTTGGAATTCTTTTTATCCTTTCACAAAAACCGAAACCGCAATGATTCATCTTGCTATATCATTTTTTATTAACACTATTTCCGAGTCTTGTGCGCATTTACGGCAGCGCATAAGCTACGATATAACTGATTCGTCGAAATTGATACTAATTCAATTTAGGCCTATATACTGGATAGCTGTATGGCTTCGCCCAGAAATCCAGTAAGGGTCATCACTTAATAATTCTCTTTTCCAATAAAAGGAAATATAAACTTAACTTAAGTTTGCAATTTGCCGCAATATGATACTAGTGAGATCTTTCAATGCTAAACATGCAGCTGTTCTCAACGACAGTTATTTTTTTCCGACAGCCGAAAAGATTAAACTTACTTAATTTATATTCATACTGATTGAATAGCTTAATCAGCTCTAAACTCGTCTCCTTGAAGGAGCATTGCATTTGGATGAGACATTCAATTTCGTGGATATTCGATTTCGTGATGGCCATGCCAGATTTATTTAGAAGGTAATTATTATAGTTCCTTGTTGGATTACATGCCGGACATACGGGGGTATATAATTTTTCGTATTGGCATGGTATTTGTGGAAACATCACGATTGTACTATTTAGGCAGAAAGAAGATGTAAAACTATAAAATAAGTTAGTGTACAGTTTTTCTAGTTCTTTTTTTTTCATTGAATATGTAAATGAAATAAATATATAACATTGCAAGCGATTACTATAGTTTGGAAGTGTCGACCTGAAACGAAATAATTCCAACTATACATTGTTGATTCCTTTGACTAGATTACATAATACTGAAAGTTATGTAGCAAGGAGGCGCTCCTGGTTTGTAAACTTGGTATTGTTCATGTTCCCTCCTGTACAAACATGCACTGGATCAATTTCAATTATCAAGATTTGTGCATTTCATTCGATATTAACTGACTGTTGAAGGGATTTAATTTCGAGTGGAACTTTTATACATTTATCAGTCCTAATCAGGAGCAGTGGCGAAAAATGGAACCAGCCGCCCTCTGGCAGAAATTGAACTGCGCCCGTGCGATCGCGTTGTTAAAACAACTATATAGACAACGAGCCTAAGTTGTTTATGAGTGAAAAGTCAACGATGCAAGACGTAGCTTGAGTTGATTTTGTGACTGAATTTTTGTGACCGAATTTTTGTGAAGATTTTGTGACCGAACGAGACCGAATTTTGTGAACATTCGATTTTGAAATTTTATTTTTGTGATCATTCGATGTCGTGAAATGATATTAGTTTCTTGTTTGATGGATGCTAGAAATGTTTGGTGTTTGTGGGGGCATCACATTTATATTTTATTACAAGTTTTTGAACCGTCATGGATTGTCCCCATGCATTCGCGAAACGACGACATAATGAGAAACACACGTATCCCCAAAATAATACCTTTGTATTAATTTTTACCGTGCAAACTTACAGTATCAAGGAAGTTATTTTTGGTCTATTAAAATAATTTGACTCAGTCTCCCCAGGTGAGATAGTTAGACACAGACAGCTTGTCTGCCATAAGCAATTATATATACCCTATATTTATGCTAAAAGCAGCTGAAAGCATTTGTAAATAACTGATAATTCTTCGTAATTTGGTAAAAAAATTATTTGACTATGACGCATGTTGTGTTTTTTTTTTCAATAATTGTATTTTGCTTAAGATATTTCGTTATGTTGATACCATTGTAATAAACCACAAAACGATCCTCTACCTAGCTTGTACGATATAGTTAACATCTACGTTTTTCACGAATCCCGGAAATAAATGGTCAGTTTGATAATGATCATGAATTGTCCCAACTATATACATAAACTAAAGTGTGTTTGCGCCCCAAGGATATGCAAGCGCCTTTTATTTGTACCACAGAATACTACACAGAAGTCCATTTCCATTGCTTTTAGCGTAAGCTCTATTCGTCATGATTCGTCACACAGTAAGCACCTTAAACAGAAGCAGTCACCCCCCAGGAAATACCAAAAACAGCGCAGGTCCAGGGGGGTGACTGGTTCTGTTTACGGTACTTGCTGAGTGACGAATAATGACGAACAGAGGTTACGCAAAAAGCAATCGAGATGAACTTCTGTGTAGTATTGTGTGTCTGTGCATTCCTGTACCTCTGACGTAAATGGGAGTTCTGTCATAGTTTCTGACTCAACCAAACACAATGGTCCTCCACACGCAATTTAGAACTGTTAGAGTTATTGTATGGAGTATCAGAACTGTAAAGTTAGATTAGTTATATTTACTGTTGTGATACTAAACCGCTATCGGCAAGAAAAGCAGTTTAGCACTGGAAGAGGTAGTATCTGGTTTAAACAACAGCACTCGCGGGGTATATCATATTTTATCTGATAATTATTCCACAGTTGAAGTTCATATAGAAGCCCACAACGGATGTCATGAAGATTATATATAAGATTATTATACAATAGATCTATTCCAAATTTGTCTTGCTTCAGCCCATTATGAAATATTTTTTGCAAGTAAAATGAGTTTAATAAAGGCGTAATTACCTTATCGCTGCAACACTACAGGCAAACAATCGCCCAAAATCTCCAGCTGCCTTTTATTTACAAAGAATTGTTTATACAAAGTATTTCAAACAATGTTGACTAACGTTTAGATGCTTAATGTCTCCACCAAAGAGAACTAAGCCATTTGGGTTAATGTCTAAAAAATCGTCAACAACTTCCACAATTCGATTCAAGAAATCTGTTTCATCATAACTAAATCTTGGGGGTGATAGGCTCCAATAACTAACATTTTATGTCCCTTTGGGAGAATAAGTATAATACTAATCATTTTAAATTCTGTTTCCCGAATGATACGAACTACTTCCAAGTTTTGTCGAAGATATACTGCGATTCCTCCATTTTTTCGTGTATCTACATTATAGTCTCTATCTCTACGGTATAGGTTATATGATGCCTTTGCAACAACGGATCCGGTATGGCATTTTATTGTTTTAGTGGGTTTCCAACACGACACATATGTCAATATCTGAAGCGCATAAATTAGGCATAAATATCAATATCTGAAGCGCAGAAATTATGTCTGTACTCTCCCAAAAAGGTTGGAATAGTATATATAATTGTTATAAGTATGAAGCATTAAATTTTTTTAGAGATGTCGCGTGTTCTATTTTAGTCTGCCATAAAGTGTGGGAGGCGCCCAAAACATATCTATCACACAAGGTGAATACTGATTAAAACGTGGTAAATTGGAAGTAAATTCAGTTAATCTAAACTGTCCTTAGCTGTATGCGCTAGTTGTTTAGTGCTTCACGTTAATCTGATGCTTAGATGATAAAGGATATACTTCAAGAAGTGAACTTATCACAAAATAAAATAATTGTATTGATTTCTACTGTGCAAACCTGCAAGTGAAGCATCCTTTTGTGGTTCATTACAATGATATCAAGATAATCAAATAATTATCTCAGAAAAGCAGAATACATTAATTATTGAAAAACACCCACAAAATATCCTTTTATTTCCAAATTATCGCAATTCGAAATATTTCGAAAATTCCGCGCACTTCAAAGATATTTTATCAATCGGAGTATAATTGCCTGGATGCTTACGAAGTCCTGTTTTCTCTAATATTTGCCCATGAGCAGGCACTGACAAGCAAACAGGATAATTTACAACTCTATTATGGCAACACAGTTTAAAGGCGTAGTTCCAGTCCTCGCACGAAGCTCCTTCCAGCTCGCTGCGAGTGCTTGCATCTAATTAGAAATAACTCCTTAGCATTGTGATTGGATGAAAGTACCCCTACATACACTCGCAGCGAGCTGCGAGGAGCTTCGTGCGAGGACTGGAATTGCAAATTAAGTTCACGTGCTAGGCAGAGAATGCAGAACTGTAAAATATTAAAGTTACTGCATGTACAATCTTTGGAACTCAATTTTAACGTCCTTAATTCTTAATTAATTGATACGTAAACTAAAATATATCTTACATTAGCAACGAATGAATTGTTTCAAAGGTGGCATTTTTTTTTCATCATAAAAGTGTCGGCTAAAAATTTAATTCCTAATGATAGGATGTCTGTTCTTTTTCTCGTAGTTATATTTTTGTCCATAGTTCAGTCTAGCTATAAATCTAATAATCTATTACAAATTTCTCTAGATAACAACCTAATGAAATATAATCAAGAGGTTCTTTTTAAAATAATTTGACTCAGTCTCCCCAGGTGAGATAGTTAGACACAGACAGCTTGTCTGCCATAAGCAATTATATATACCCTTTATTTATGCTAAAAGCAGCTGAAAGCATTTTAAATAACTGATAATTCTTCGTAATTTGGTGATAAAAATAATTTGACTATGACGCATATTGTGGGTTTTTTTTCAATAATTGTATTTTGCTTAAGATATTTCGTTATGTCGATACCATTGTAATAAACCACAAAACGACCCTCGACCTAGCTTGTATGATATAGTTAACATCTACGTTTTTCACGAAACTCGGAAATAAATATTCACGAATCAGTTTGATAATGATCATGAATTGTCCCAACATAAAATAAAGCGTGTTTGCGTCCCAAGGACATGCAAACGCCTTTAATCTGTACCACAGAATACTACACAGAAGTCCATCTCCATTGCTTTTTGCGTAAGCTCTATTCGTCATGATTCGTCACTGAGCAAGCACCGTAAACAGAAGCAGTCACCCCCCTGGAAATACTAAAAACGGCACACGTCCAGGGGGTGACTGCTTCTGTTTACGGTACTTGCTGAGCGACGAATCATGACGAATAGAGCTTACGCAAAAAGCAATCGAGATGGACTTCTGTGTAATATTCTGTGTCTGTATATTCCTGTATCTATGACGTAAGTGAGAGTTCTGTCAAAGTTCCTGACTCAATCAAACACAATGGTCCTCCAAACGCAATTTAGAACTGATAGAGTTATTGTACGCAGTATCAGAACTGTAAAATTAGGTTAGGCGAACAACGCGACGTGATTTTTCGATTTTTTAATCCAGTTTAAATTATCAAAAAATTTAGAAGCGGTATAACATTTGAGTTATTTGGTCTACATATTCTCCATTGGCTGTTTTATTAACCTTCAAAAACTACAAAATTGCGTCGCGTTGTCGAATGCCATCCGATGTGTCTTGACCTTCATTCTGCATGCTGGCTATAGTTGTGAAAGTAATGTATGTTGCCAACTTCACTATTATCTCTCTGGGCTCAACAGACTTCGTTTAATTATTGTACTGCATGTTTACAACGCTCGTGCTGAACAATCAACAAAGTTTACGTTTAAATTTATGTTATTTCAGAAGAAATAATATAATATGTTCAGCATAACCATGTACCCACAGTTTTGTACAATACTATATATACTGTATACGTAAAATTTGAAACTTGTTTGACATAAATTATATTTGATAATTGGCTGACTGGTAAATTTGTCGGAGTGAGTCAGCTAAACTACAAAGCATTGAACCATTGAACAAAAACTGTTTGTCTGTAATATAACAGAATGTTCGAAACATGGAAAGCCGGGATTGGCGTTGGAATATTTTTAATCCTTTCAGAAAAACCGAAACGGCAATAATTGGTCTAGCTATACAGTATATCATTTTTATTAACACTATTTCTGAGCTTTGTGCGCATTTACAGCAGTGCAGAAGCTACGATATATAAGTGCATATTCGACGAAATTGGTACTAATTCAATTGATATACTAGGTAAGTGTATAGCTTCGCCCAGAGGTGCAGTAAGGGTCATTACTTAATAATTCTCCTTTCCAATACAAGGAAATCTAAACTTAACCTATAAGTTTGCAATTAATACAGATGTTGATATACTGGCCATATATATATATATATATATATATATATATATATATATATATATATATATATATATATATATATATTAAGGTGAAAATGTTCTCGAGTGTGTATTATATAATTTCCATACCCAGCGTAAGCAGAAAGATAAAGTCTGCCGCGGCTGGGTCTTGAACCCGCGACCTTCGAATTACTAGATCGACGCTCTGCCAACTGAGCTACACGGTCAGACGGATTTAAGACTGGAAATTATGAAATATATATACATAAATATATATATACACTCGAGAACATTTTCACCTTAACATATTACGGAGTGTACAATTACACAACTCAACATATATATACATATATATACATATATATTTTTATATATATATATATATATATATATATATATATATATATTAGTATATATATATATATATATATATATATATATATATATATATATATATATATATATATATATATATATATATATATATATATATATATATATATATATATATATATATATATATATACATATATATATATAATGCGCTCTTTCAATGCTAGACAGCTGTTTTCAACGATAGGCTAGCAATTCTTTTTTTCGACAGCCGAAAAATTGAACTAACTTAATTTATAGTCATACTGAATAGCTTAATCAGATCTAAACTGTTCTCTTTGAAGGTGCAATGCACTTGGATGAGTCATTCTATTTTGTGGACATTGGATTTCGTGATGGCCAGATTTATTTAGAACCTAATTATTATAGTTCCTTGTTGGATTGCATGCCGGACCAACAGGGGTATATAAATTTTCGTATAGTCATGGTATTTGTGGAGACATCATGTTTGTTCGATTTAGGCAGAAAGAAGATGTAAAACTGTAAAATAAGTTACTGTATGTGCATGCAATTTTTCTAGCTCCTTTTTTTCATTCGATATGTAAATTAAATAAATATATAACATTGCAGGCGATTAATAGCTTAGTGTCGACCTGAAAAGTATTTGGGTGCCTCACATGGCTCACTGACTCGCACTTCGAAATGGCCTTTTCCAATGCACCAGATCTTTCTAAACGCTAAACTATGATAGACCCCCTGCTGCATAGCATATTGATATCAGGTCATTAGGTTAATCGATACACGCAAGTCTTCTTCACTTGTGAATCTAAATTGTTAATGATTTCGCAGTTATAATGCGCAAATCCAAGAGGAAACTGCATTTGTGCTTCAGCTGTCAATTTGGTAGGTTCTCTCAAATCCTAATTATCAAAAGCAACAAAATAGCGTGTGAATAAAATCCTTAACTCGGTGAGTAGAATTACATTTTCTGTACTTCTCTTCTTAATAATCATTAGCTGAAGATTGGCTCGATAATGGATGAAACCCACTGTACATGATTGCTAGATTAATGTAGAATAACCCTATATGCATGAAAGAGTTAAGGAGTTAGTACTAGTTATAGTTCATAAGATAATGTCTCTTTCGTAAGTGGAATTCTATATCAAATTATACCAAAATTGACGACAAAATTAACAATTATTCGATGAGGTTTTTATGAAATGCGGAATTTATCAAAGTTGAGGTAATAATTTTGCTTATCGCAAAAACCGAATTCAGTAATTGTTTCATTATACATTTGTTTGTGTTAAATAGATACCGCTTGCCAATCATCGTAGGCTGATTTGCAGGCAACTCAGATATCTGCTAGCAGATAACTGAACTTTCGGTAGGTTGCGTGATTGCGCGACTTAACTGTAAGCTTTTAGCCAACCAAGTTGCTTTTACCCACTACAATGTATAATAAAAAAACAACACTGGATGAAATTGTTGGGATATCCAGAATTATCAAGGTTGTGGTAAGTGTTACCTGACAAGCCCAAGGCCAGACTGATAACATTTTTCTCGTTATGCGAAGTTCATCTTGAGAAAAAATGTTCTCCTTGCCAGTTTTGTCTAAAATCTTTTGTGCAAAAGGTATGCCGATTTAGTTAGCTGATAAAGTGATCATCTAGCGACTTTAATCTTTGCAATCTTAGAGTTTTGTTTTGCGATAGGTTTGGTGTCGCTGCAATTAGAAATTTTAAATACGTTGACTTTTAATATATAATACCTTTGTTGGTCGAGCAAGTCGACAAGTCTGTCAAGAGGTTTGGTTTCATCTCGTCGCATCGTAAGCAGTGACGTAGCGTACGGAAGCGTGGGAGAGCGACCCCCCACCCCCCGGCCCAACTCGACAAAAAAAACATCTAAAGTGCAATGTTTCCGATCAAAATAAAATTGGGTGTTTTCCTGCCAGCATCACGGAGAAGAAATTTGGCCAAAAAATTTCGGCTAAAATTGTTTGATATCGCATATTAGTTCCTTGTTTGATGCATGCTGGAAATGGTATATAATTGACCGCACTTGGTATTTGAAAACATCTCATTTCTTTTGTATTACAAACTTAAACTTCCAAGACGTATACAGCTATTTCAATTAAGGTTGTCCTCCGAATCCCCCCCGAGTAAAGCGGAAAAGTCCAATACGAAGGCGAAAGGCTGCTGGGAACCGCTAATAAATTCATTCATTTATTAGCGATTCCCAGCAGCTTTCGCGCTTGTATTCGACTAGTTTCCGCCTTGCTTGGGGGACAGCCTTAATTGAAATAGCAGTATACTTCCTAGACTGCGAGCAATCCCTCTATTTTCCTTCGTTTTATTGTTTCCCGGACTAAGATTGAACGCGCGGGAAAATGGCAAAAAGGGGCGGAGACGAGAGGAAAAATAGAGGGATTGCCGCTTTAACTAATTGTCAAGCGTGTTTGATTTTCCCGTTGCACAGACAACGGGAAATTCTGATTGGTTAAAAAACAATAAATATTCTGATAACATTAAAACCCATCACTCAGCTGGCTTTATACTGTAAACAGACATTTGGCGAAATTAATATCTATCTGGCAGCGGGAAGCAACGAAAATTGATACGTATGTAGTTGAAAGTCTTACAACAAGCTTACAGAAACAAACGCTTGCAATAGAGTGCTTACTTGAAGGTAGAGATGTTCTAGCTGTCCTTCCTACGGGATTTGGAAAGAGTTTCCTGTTGGCTGAAGATATTGGAAGGGTTTGTTCAAGCCCAACTAGTATTATAGTATTTAAGCTCTTCGTAGCATTACTATTATTGATGAACAGTTACGGTCCAACGACTTTGCAAATATTAACTCGGCCGTTCTTATAGTGGGATCAAGTAAACCAATTTTCAGATATTTGTGTATGCGTCTGCCTTTGTCTCCTGAATTTGTTGCCTTGTTGAAGAATAAAAGCTCGCCATTCAGAAACGAACTGCCCTCATAGTCGTTGATGAATTGGCAGTTAGGCTAATTAATACATGGTGACTTGGTGAGTTTATGGAGTTTGGGTTTATTATAATATTGTATGTCTTTGTATTAAAATATGTATGTATGTATTGTATATTGTATGTATTGTTTTGATCTTAAATGAATAGTCATGTTAACAGTATCAATGTATCTAAAAGATTGCATTTTTTATATTAAACTAAACCTCTATGCCTCTATGTTTACAAGCTTAAAATTTAAACTTTCGGAAAATTGGAAACATGCAAATGTACGTATATACGAATGCTAAAACTATGAACTATGAATTAAAACGTTTACATGTAGAACTTGCGATTATGAATGTGTTCATGTATCTATTAGTCTTAATTATTGGAAAGTCCTCAAGGATTAATGTGCAGACAGTACTGTATTTGAGTAAATTGAGTTCAAATCCGGCAATAGTGCCGCGAAGTTTGTGATTTGGATCTTCAATGATTTCTGTATCCGTTCAATGTCTTTACTCAGGTAATTTGGGATTCCATAATGAAAAACGGGCGATGCATATTCTACTATCTCGGTCGGATGCAAGTACAATAAAAACAAATCATCTCAGCAGCCGGTACATTCGCACGTTTTAACTAACGTAAATTACAAACACTCCTTGTAAATCTTAACCTGCATGTAATTCAGCTGAATAGCTGTATTAAAGTTGGTAATTTTTTATTACTGTAAACTATTAATATATATCAAAATATTGTCGCAGAAAGTCACAGTCTATAGAATAGACCCTTCAATAAACCCTAAGACCCCTTGCCTTGCTTTATACGTTTTTCTGCCAGACAAATTCTGATTATGAATATTCATACTTGCCAAACTGAAATTTGAGAATTTAAATACACGTTGTTTGATGGTTTTAGACTAAGCGAATTGAGTCATTCGAGATCGCGCCTTTCAAGAGATGTTTTTGACCCTGTTTTGAAATATAAACAAGTAGGCGGAGCTTAATCAAACACGCTTGACAATTAGTTAAAGCGGCAATC